AGATTGTGCTAAGTATTGGGGTGGGAGATACAAAGATTTAAAAGAATCTTAATTGTGAGATTTGCAGCCTGATAAGGAAGTTTGTCATGTAATGACAAATTCTTATTCCTCCAATTTCCTTTAAAATTTTCTTGTCCTTTTCTAAAAGCATCCATTACTACTACCCTTACTTCGAAATGGAATTTCCAAACGTGGTTATCTTATGTTAGTTATGTTTTAGAGTGGCTACTTCCGGCATCTTTTAATCCCATCAGTGAACTGTCTTCTAATTAATGCTCAAGAGAGGTTATTTCAGGGAGGGTTCATGCAAATAGCAATTCTGCCTGTGACCCAAATTTCTGGAGTTTTTTATTTATTTTTTCTTTCTTTCTGAGACAGTGTCTAACTCTGGTGCTCAGGCTAGAGTGCAACGTTGCTCACTGCAGCGTCGAAATCCTGGGCTCAAGTGATCCTCCTGCCTCTGCCTCCCAAAGTGCTGGGATTACAGGCATGAGCCACCAGTCCCACTCACCAGACTTGTATTCTAATCTAATACAAATAGGCAGCCAGATAGACTTTCTGGGCCTTAGTCAGTTTCATATAGCTTTGAACCCGCTGTAGTTCTCCCATGTCTAATTTAAAACATCTCTACCTTCCACTTCTATTATACCACTGAGAATACAAAAAGAACAATACCTGTTATATGCCTATTATATACTCCAGTCTAAACTACAGTCAAGGCACAGTGGCTCATACCTGTAATCCCAACACTTTGGGAGGCCAAGGTGGCAGGATTTGAGGCCAGGAGTTTGAGTTTAACCTGGTTAATATAGTGAGACCCTGTCTCAACAAAAAGTTAGCTGGGCATAGTGGTGAGAGCCTGTAGTCTCAGCTACTCAGGAGGCTGACGTGGGAGAATTGCTTGAGGCCAGGATATCAGGGCTGCAGTGAGCTATGATTGTGCCACTGTACTCCAGCCTGGGCAACAGAATGAGACCCTGTCTCTAAAGATTTTTTTTTTTTTTTTTAATAAATTGGCTGAACTTGGTGACTCATGCCTGTAATCCTACCACTTTGGGAGGCCGAGGCAAGCAGATTGCCTGAGGCCAGGAATGCTAGACTAGCCTGGGCAACATGGTGAAACCCCGTCTTTACAAAAAAATGGAAAAAATTAGCCAGGCATGGTGGCACACACCCATAATGTCCTAGCTACTTGGGAAGCTAAGTTGAGAAGATCACCTGAGCCTGGGGAGGTTGAGGCTACAGTGAGCCAGAATTGGGCCACTGCACTTCAGCCTGGGCAACAAATTAATAGCCAAGTTGAGATAAGACACTGTCACATTATTCCCACTGTGTGTCTCTTCAAGCATGTATGCTGTGTTTCTTTCACTATGCCACACTTATCCTCTAGTACTGAGCTCCATTGTAATTTTACAAAGGAAATAGGAAGAACAGGTTGGTATATGCATGGGAGCAGGTGGATTTAAACCCAAGACTTTCATACAAGAGCCACTAAAATTTTGCCACAGTGCCATGGGGATTACTTTGTTCTTTTAGCAACTGCAGACATTATTGATGAATTGATTTCTATGTAGAAACACTTTACATGTAGAAATAGAGTTTGATGTATGACCTTTTATAAATCCAAAGAAAAGAAAGTGAATATATGCCTTAGGGAAATTAAATGCTTTACCTCAGAGGAAATCTAAGTGATTTTCACACTAAGTATTGAGTGGTTTGTTATTGATGTTTTAAAAGTACAGATATGTTGATTAGCTAGGCATGATGGTGCCCACCTTTGGTCTCAGCCATGCGGGGGATCTGAGGCAGGACAATTGCTTGAGCGCAGGAGGTTGAGGCTGCGGTGAGCCATGCTCGTACCACTCCAGCCTGGGCAACAGAGACCCTGTCTCAAAAAAATATAAAAGTAAAAATAAAAGTACAGATGTTTTAATTCATAGATTTAAAATGTAGTAATCAATGTTTAAGAAAATTTGATACTTAAAATAGACTGCATTAAAACTAAACATAGAATTTCATCAGCATTCAAGGTGTTGGCAAGATGGTTCCATACAGTATATTTAATATTTTAATTTAATTTAATTTTTAATCCCCCAGAGCATTCCTGCAAATTGCAATTTTAGTAATTGACCAAAAATTTGCTCATGTGAATTATACTTAGATCACACTTAGAAAGAAATTTCAATGTATTCCATGAAATATATTGGTCTAGCAGAACTTACATGATCAGCTAGCTTCCTGATCTTATCTCTCATTTTCTCCCTTGTTCACTCTACCCAAATCATATTGGATCTTTACTTTTCCCAAAACACACCAGACACACTGCAGCATCACTGACTTTGCATTTGCTATTCTCTACCCGAAATCTCTTGCCCCAGATAGCCATATGATTTGCTTACCTTACCTCAGGCAAGTCTTCATTCAAATATAACCTCACCAAAGTGGCCTTTGGTAGCACCACCACCATCCTGCCCCCTAATATCTCTATAATCTAGGTTTACTCAACTTCAGCACAATTGACATTTTGAGCTGCATAACTCTGTGTTGTACATACGGAGGAGGGGTCATGTCCACTGTAGGATATTTGGAAGAATCCTCAGCCTCTACCCACAGTATGCCAGGTGCTTCCTCTCCCAGCCCAACACCCTTCTCCCATTATGGCAATCAAAAATGTCCCCTGGGCGCAAATTAGCCCCAGTCTAACCCCTTATAATGCTTTTTTCTTTTTCTTTTTAAGATGAAGTCTTTCTCTGTCACCCAGACTGCTGTGCAGTGGTGCAATCGTGGCCCAGGTTCAAGTGATTCTCCTGCCACAGCCTCCCGAGTAGGTGGGACTACAGGCAGCTGCCACCACACCCAGTTAATTTTTGTATTTTTAGTAAAGACAGGGTTTTGCCACGAGGGCTAGGCTGGTCTCAAACTCCTGACCTCAAGTGATCCGCCTGCCTCGGCCACCGAAAGTGCTGGGATTATAGGTGTGAGCCACCATGCCCAGCCTGCTTTATTTTTTTATAACATTTATATTGTTAAATTATATTACATTTTATAGTCATACCTCATGTTATATGTCATTAGAATGTGAGCTCCTTGAGAGAAAAACTTTCTTTTGTTGGCTGTGATATTCCCAGTATCAAGATCAATACCTTGTACAGAGTTTTTAAGTAATGTGTCAAACAGATTAACTATTCACAGTACATTTTCTTTTCTTTTCTTTTCTTTTTTTTTTTTTTTTTTTTTGAGATGGAGTTTCACTTTTGTCACGCAGGCTGGAGTATAATGGTGTGATCTTGGCTCACTGCAACCTCTGACTCCTAGGTTCAAGCAATTCTCCTTCCTCCGCCTCCTAAGTAGCTGAGATTACAGGTGCCTGCCACCACACCAGCTAATTTTTTGTATTTTTATTAGAAACGGGGTTTTACCACGTTGACCAAACTGGTGTCGTGACTTCAGGTGGGGTGACCTCAGGTGATCCGCCCTCCTTGGCCTCCCAAAGTGCTTGGATTACAGGCATGAGCCACAGTGCCTGGCCACAATACATTTTCTTAAACAGTGCTAAGGTCATCTTGAGTCATTTCTCTATTCAGGTTGTTTCCTTCTAGTATAATTAAATTTACATATGAAAATCAGTGGGACCAAAGGAATAAAAGGCATTATGAACAGAAGATATTTGAAATTACTTGTGAACATCAAACTTTATCCACAAAATAATGTACTCAAGTGGTTACAACCCTCAGGACATTAGCCGTTTTCTAAATCAATTAACTTTTGGTGATTGATCAGGTGTTTTTTCTATTTTTAAAAGTTTAAGAATAAACTTCATTTAATCAGCACTTTGAGACATACTCTGAGAAACTTCAGTAGTACAAAAATTAAAAGGTTTTTATAGAGTCATGTTAAACATCTGCGTTCCTCAGTAGTACATTGATTTTTATAAACTATGTTTGTCTTATATTAAGGTTTGTTTACATTAACACTTAAAATAATGGGCACTGAAGGTGATTCCTTAATTTCAGGTGTACATTGAAACAGATTCAGCATTAAATTCATAAAACTTCTGTTAGAGCAATGGAAGAATAAGAAACACAAAACTCCGGGCCAGGCGTGGTGGCTCACGCCTGTAATCCAAGCACTTTGGAGGCCAAGGTGGGCAGATCACCTGAGGTCGGGAGTTCAAGACCAGCCTGACCAACATGGTGAAACCCCATCTTTAAAAATAAAAAATAAATAAATAAAATAAATAAGAAACAGAAAACTCCTGTAGTTACAGTAGAAATTATTCTATACCATACAAGTGTTTTGTAGGTTTATGATCTATTAATTCTTTTTTTAAAAATCCTGGCCAGGCGCGGTGGCTCACGCCTGTAATCCCAGCACTTTGGGAGGCCGAGGTGGGCGGATCACGAGGTCAGGAGTTCAAGACCATCCTGGCCAACCTGGTGAAACCCCATCTCTACGAAAAACACACAAAAAAAATTGGCCAGGTGTGGTGGCTCACACCTGTAATCTCAGCACTGCGGCATGATGGCAGGTGCCTGGAATCCCAGCTACTCAGGAGGCTGAGGCAGGAGAATTGCTTGGACCCAGGAGGGGAGGTTGCAGTGAACTGAGATCTCACTTCTGCAGTCCAGCTGAGACTCTGTCTCCGAAAAATAAAAAATGAAAATAAAATTAAAATAAACTCATCTATAAAAAAATCCTATTAGTTCCAAGTTAATAATAATTGTATTAACCAACTATGCTTTCTTGAACTTAGGGATGCTCTTATCAAGTAAATCTACTTAGGCATTGCTTAAATCACAGGATACATGATGTAAAACCTTGCTTTTTCCATTAAAATGTCAATTTCCCTTTCAAACAACCTCATTTCCACACAGTAAGAAAACATTTTATTTAGGTGAGCTTATGAACTGAGCCTCAAATGAAGGGAAATACTCTTAATAAATTAATTTGCATCTCTCAATTTTTTTTTCCTCTTTTGCTTGTTTTCCTTTTTTACAAAGATCTCAACAGCAACGGATTCATTTGTGACTATGAACTTCATGAACTTTTCAAGGAAGCTAATATGCCATTACCAGGATATAAAGTGAGAGAAATTATTCAGAAACTCATGCTGGATGGTGACAGGAATAAAGATGGGAAAATAAGTTTTGATGAATTTGTTTATGTAAGTATGTGAAAATTCATGATTATTAGATGTAATAGATACTCCTTTGTCTAGTGGGATGTTATAGTATTAAGTACTATTAAGTTCCTAAATATTAGTACTGTTATAACTAATAACATTTCTGTCATCCTCCCCACTAAATTTACTTCTTTTAGCCACTAGAATAGCTTAACAAATGAATTGAGAAAAAGAACACTGCAGAAAGAAAGATGTAACACGATGCTCCTTGTATAAGGTGAACAGTCTCCTTTCATGGCATCATTAAAGGGCAGTTATCGAAGTGCTAAGTGACATCTTTGAAGTGTTTTCTCTCCCATGGTGAACAGTGTACGCCAAAATTTTAATGATACACCCTGACTCACAGTCTCGGAAGCTTCCTGAGCTGAAATTTCTGATTAAAAAGTTGTTTTCTACTCTTGTGGTAGGGGTATTTAACTGAATCATTTTCTCTAGGATGATAATTTTGATAATTAAAAGTTGGAAGCGTATCTTTTTAGTCCATTGGAAGAGGCATTTAAAATGTTTGCTTTCTTCTCTAGTTTCATCAAATATTCTTCAAGGTTAGGGGCTGAGTTTTTGATTCCTTCACCCACCCCCCACCCGCCTACCCCCGCCGCTACTCCCAGCACTTAGTCTGGTGTTCTGTACTCAGTGCCTGGAAAATGTATACTTGGCACGTGGTTCTCCAATGCCTACCACTATTGGCTGCTAGCAAGTGAGGTCTAGATTTTTTAGACTTATGCCATTTTCAGCCTGTATTTATTGACAGTGTATTTGAGATACACGTTAAAAATAGCTGGCCGTAACTCCAGCACTTTGGTAGGCTGAGGCAGGAAGGGTCTCTTGAGGCCAGGCTTTCAAGACCAACTTGGGCAAGATAGGGAGACCTTGTCAGCTTAGGAAACTTAGAAAGACCCCATCTATGCAAAAAATTTTAAAAATTAGCCAAGCATGGTAGCTCGAGCCTATAGTCCCAGCTACTCAGAAGGCTGAGACAGGAGGATTGCTTGAACCCAGTAGCTTGAGGCTGCAGTGAGCTATGATAGCACCACTGCCCTCCAGTCTGGGTGACAGAGCAAGACCCTGTCTCTAAATTAATAAATTAATTAATTTAAAAAATAAAAGAATAGCTGTCACTTCTTCCCTTAATTAATGATACCCTTAAGATTTTATTGGTGTATTTATTATTAATTTAAGGCTGAGTTTGACTAGATCTTAACTAGGAATTCCTTTCAGTATATCACAAACTAGTTATCAGTGCGTATTATTTATCACAAATGTCCTAGCACTTTTATCCTCCTTTTTCAGGGTTTATTTTACCCCAAGACAACTGAAACAATAACATTATACTCCCATCAGTAACTGTGGCTCACCATAGCAAGTGAAATTTTGAAATGTTGTCTCCAGTTAGAATTAACACCTTTAGAACACTGCAGTAGTTCAAGAAGCAAATTGACCAAGTAATGATGCCTACTGAGCTGACAGCATTTTGTGATTGTTTTTAAAATGCAGACCTGTTGGCCGGGCTCAGTGGCTCACGCCTGTAATCCCAGCACTTTGGGAGGCCAAGGTTGGTGGATCACAAGGTCAGGATATCGAGACCATCCTGGCCAACGTGGTGAAACCCTGTCTCTACTAAAAATACAAAAATTAGCTGGGCGTGCTGGTGGTGCATGCCTGTAATCCCAGCTACTTGGGAAGCTGAAGCAGGAGGATCACATGAACCCAGACGGAAGAGATTGCAGTGAGCCAAGATCACAGCACTGCACTCCAGCCTGGCAACGGAGCAAGATTCCGTCTTTAAAAAAAAAAAAAAAAAAAAAAGCATACTTGTATCATAATTATGATATAGTTATTGCCATTTTCTTTTGAAATACTGATTTCCTCCCACCATTTTTTTTGTCTCCAGTTATGGCCAAAACCTTTTGTTTTGAATTCTGTGTTCAATAGTAAGTTGCAGTTTGTTTGCAATTTGAGCACTTGCATGTTTTCTGATGTATCACTTGCCCCGCTTTTAACTGCATGTTTAATTGTGAATTTAAAGTAGTTCAGAGCAGCAGTTAACTATGATTGGCTGTTTTTGATAAAATTTATTGCTCAGAATTTTTTAATCTACTAGAAAGAACAGACCTAAATCATTAGGATTTGCAGTGTGTCATTATTATTAAGGACAAAATTATGAAAGTGTCTTTGAAAATTATCTTGGGGAAATTGTTAATTTTGTAGATTTTGAAATGTAATTTCTACACAGCTATTTGGCTTTTAAGGGAGGAGGTGTGATTACCTTAGTATATTCTTCAAAAGTAAAGACCATGCACAATAATTTTGGCAACACCAGGGCTTTAAAAAAACAACATTCATGAGGACATTTTAGGTTAGAATATACATTTTAGAATCAGAAGAAATCATTATGTTTACATTCCTACACTTTTCAAATGAAAAGAAACAAATAAACTTGGGTTTCTGAAAAAGGAAGCGACTTGCCCAACGTTACACAGAGGACTACTGGCTTTTTCCAAGCACCTTCCTGCTATTCAAGAAATTTGAAATATCAACAACAGTAAAGTAACCTGCCTGAAGTTTCAGATCCTACTGTTATGACTGTATTAACCAAATGTCTGTCCACACCCATCTGCCTTATCATCAATGAAACATCTTACAAATTGTCAGGCAAAATATGGGTAAAGCTTAGTTATCCAAGAAACAGAGAGCATTTTATTCCTGTCAGATATTAGCATAAGGAAATAAAAATGTTCTTGCTTGTTGTGTTTTTGCTTTTTCTTTGAACTGTTGCTTGAGGGGTGTTAATTGCAAACCAAGCTACAAACAAAAACAGTTTATGTTACTTTCAGAGAAAAGTGTGTGTGTGCGTGTGTGTGTGTATGGCAAAAAACAGTCCCAGAATTATATGTATGTAAACTTTAAAGGTGAATATTGGCTGGGCGTGGTGGCTCATGCCTGTAATCGCAGCATTTTGGGAGGCTGAGGTCAGGCATTTAAGACCAACATGACCAACATGTAGAAACCACGTCTCTACTAAAAATACAAAGTTAGCCAGATATGGTGGTGAATGCCTGTAATCCCAGCTACCCTGGTGGCTCAGGCAGGAGAATTGTTTGAGCATGGGAGGCGGAGATTGTGGTGAGCCAAGATTGTGCCATTGCACTCCAGTCTGGGCAACAAGAGTGAAACTCCATCTCAAAAAAAAAAAAAAGTGAAAATTAAATTTAATACCCTGCTTTTTAAAATTCTAAATGCTTCAAAACTAAAATACTGGATTTTTTTTGAAAGAAAATTTGTATTAATAATTTTTATTTACAGAAAACTCAACAGTGTACATTTAACCCAGTTTAGTGGCAAGTTCTTTAGCCTTTGCCTTTTCAAGCTTGGCGATGCGAGCCACAGACTTGGGACCCAGGACATTGCCTCCCCAGTGACGGCGGATCTCCTCGTATCTATCGTTGTAATTGGTCCTAATAGCTTCCACCAGCTTAGCCAAAGCGCCTTTGTCTTCCGAGTTAACCTGTGTGAAGGCGACAGTGGTGCAGGTCTTCCTATGGACTTGACATCCCAGTCTTGCTTAACCCCTTAATAATGCAGTGAGGGACCCCGATTTTATGACGCAGGGCAGGCAAGAATACAGCCAGCTCGATGGGATCCACGTCATGTGCAATTACCACCAGCTGAGCTTTCTTGTTCTCCACCAAGGTGGTGACAGTATTAACTCCTGCTTGAAGGACAGGTGGTCTCTTAGTGGGGACGTCCCCTTTGCCAGCAGCTTTCTTCTCAGCCTGGGCCAACAGCCTCTACTTCTGTTTTTGCTTTGTCTCTGGTCTGTACTTGTGGGCCAGGTTAAGTAACTGAGTAGCTGTTTGACAGTCCAGTGCCTGGGTGAACTGGTTAATTGCAGGAGGCACTTTCAGCCGCTTATAGAAGATAACTCTCTTCCACTGCAACCTGACATAGCGGGGCCACTTCACAAAGAGGGTGAGGTCTCTTTTGGGCTGGATGTCCGGTCCAATGCCAAAATTCTTAGGCGTTTTCTCAAATGGGATTCATAACTTTCTTGGCCTCCTGCTTCTTCACGACAGCAGGGGCCGGAGCTACCTTCTTCCCCTTGGCCTTCTTTCCTTTCTGCATTTTGGGCAGCGAGAGGAGAGCTAAAATACTGGATTTTTATGCTTACAGGATAATAGGACTTTTTTTCTTTGATTGTTAAGGAATATTATGGCACTTTAAGCAGAGCAGTTAGCTGCTCAGAGCAGTCCTGGACATATAGTAAATGCTATATAGGTGTTGTTGGGGTAGATATTTCTTTAAAAAAAGTGATGTTTTTCAAATATTACTAAGTTTAGGCCTATAAGACATTCCCAGAAAATGGAAAAATTCAAACCTGCTTCTTTGGAAACATTTTGGAAATAAGCCCCAAACACTGGAAGCCAGCGAATTCTTTTTAAGCAATTCTTTCTGCAATCTTTCTTTCTTAAGTCATATGCCTTTGGATTGTTTTGATTTGGCCACTTGTCCTGTGTTGAGCTAACTCTGGGGTCAAAAGAAGTTAGCTGGTTGCTGAGCATCTTTGAGAGAAAGGCGGTGAAACTTAATAAAAGAATAGAAAATATATATAATCCGTAAAGGAGACTGAAAAAGATGTATAGAGCAACAGTGGATAGAACAACAGTGGATATTGCTTCCTGAAAAAAGTACAGCAGGAATTAGCTCACAGATGATAAAGCAAGTCTTTCCTTGTGGAGGGAAAACAGCACAAAACAGTGAGCTCATTAGTATCACAACAGGCAGCTTTGAAAAGATTCATTGAGAAGACTCCAGCACAGTAGTCAGTCCTGTGCTATCTCTGATTTCAGAGATTCCTTGTTAAGCCAAAGCTTGTACTCAAATAGTTTTATCATCGACTTAAGCAATTTCTTTATGAAAGTAGAAAGTAAAATGCAAATTCTTGTGTAGTGAATCAATATCATAGACATATAAATCTTCAGTTCTTTCTTACAATTTTTACTTTTTTTTTTTTTTTTGAGACGGAGTTTTACTCTTGTTGCCCAGGCTGGAGTGCAGTGGCGTGATCTCAGCTCACCACAGCCTCCACCTCCCAGGTTCAAGGGATTCTGCTGCCTCAGCCTCCCCAGTAGCAGGGATTACAGGCATGCACCACCAAGCCCAGCTAATTTTGTATTTTTAGTAGAGATAGGGTTTCTCCATGTTGGTCAGGCTGATCTCGAACTCTCAACCTCGGGTGATCTGCCCGCCTCGCCCTCCCCAAGTGCTGGGATTACAGGCATGAGCCACCATGCCTCACCCATTTTTACTTTTTTTTTTTTTTTGAGACGGAGTTTTGATCTTGTTGCCCAGTCTAGAGTGCAATGGCGCGATCCTGGCTCACCACAACCTCCGCCTCCCAGATTTAAGCGATTCTCCTGCCTCAGCCTCCCTAGTAGTTGGGATTACAGGCATATATATGCCACTGTGTCCAGCTAATTTTATATTTTTAGTAGAGATGGGGTTTCTCCGTGTTGGTCAGGCTGATCTTGAACTCCCAACCTCAGGTGATCTGCCGCCTCAGCCTCCCAAAGTGCTGAGATTACAGGCTTGGGCCACCACGCCTAGCCCATTTTTACTTTTTTAAATCCAAGGAATAAAGGAAAATACTATGAAACTAAAATTTTAAGCTTAGCTGGAATAATTTATTTTAAACAATTTAGAAAATGAAGGTCATATAACTTTTGCAAGACCGATGAAAATTAATAATTACAATTTTGCATTTCATTGTCAAGTATAAGAAGGAGTTTTACTGGAGCTACAGAAGTAATTGCATTAGGATATATAGCAGAGATAGTCTATTTTTTTTTTTTTTTTTTTTTGAGACAGGCTGTTATTGCCCAGGCTGAAGTGCAGTGACACCATCTCAGCTCACTGCAACCACCACCTCCCAGGTTCAAGCAGTTCTCATACCTCAGCCTACCAAGTAGCTGGGGTTACAGGCACGCACCACCATGCCCGGCTAATTTTTGTATTTTTAGTGGAGACAGGGTTTCATCAAGTTGGCCAGGGCTAGTCTTAAACTCCTGACTGCAAGTGATCCACCCACCTCGGCCTCCCAGAGTGCTGGGATTACAGGTGCGAGCCACCACACCGAGCCTACTTTTCTATTTCTAGTTATTAGTTCCAATTTCCAGACATTCTTTTTTGTGTTTTTATTTTATTTTTTGGAGACGGAGTCTCACCCTGTTGCCCAGGCTGGAGTGCAGTGGCGTGATCTTGGCTCACTGCAACTGCCGCCTCCCAGGTTCAAGTGATTCTCCTGCCTCAGCCACCTGAATAGCTGGGATTACAGGCGCATGCCACCATGCCTGCTAATTTTCGTATTTTTAATAGAGATGGGGTTTCACCGTATTGGTCAGGCTGGTCTTGAACTCCTGATCTCGTAATCCACCCACCTTGGCCTCCCAAAGTGCTGGGATTACAGGTGTGAGCCACCACACGCAGCCGACATTCTCTTTTTAAAATATGAATTAATCCTCTTTTCTATGACGTAAACAAATTTGGATTTATTTATTTATTTTAAAGGATAAATTTGCATTTTTCTTTTTTTTTTTTTTTTTTTTTTTTAAAGACGGGGCTTCACCATGTTGGTCAGGCTGGTCTTGAACTCCCAACCTCAGGTGATCCGCCCGCCTTGGCCTCCAAAGTGCTTGAATTACAGGCGTGAGCCACCACGCCCGGCCCTGGATTTATTTTTTAGCTGAAATCATGATCATTCAAACAACCTAATTCTTAAAAGTAAATGATCCTTGAAGCATAAGCACTTGTAATAAGAAATATAACTTTACATATCTCATTCTGAAGCTGTAACATTTTTGTCATTGCAAGGACTTGTGGTATGTTAGGCATGAAGAAATGCACACCTTTCAGATTTTAACTTATTAGACAATGTTTCACTAAATGAAGTAGAGTTCAGAAAGAAGTAGACTAGTGACTATTGTCTTTTCACTGAGCAGGTGCATTATTATCAAAAGGAGAGCTATGGGATCAAAATGCTTCACAGTTAAGGCACAGTTGGACTAAAAATTCAGATTGTAAATAAAAATAATTTTAATGATTTGAAAACTACCTGGAGTGTGTGCATCAGCTCTACACTGTTAATACTTAGTGAGAGTCAATATAATGGCCATAAAGCAGGAAGGGTGACTTCATTGGTTGTATGTAGTATTTAGAGTAGTCAGTGTGTACATGTGTCTGCATATATATACAAACATAAACACATACAGACATTTATTCTAAAATTCTACCTCCAAAATTACCGGTATACCTAGCACAGAATCGCAGCTATGGAAATACTTGAGTAAGTTTTGGTTTGTAAAACTTAACTGCTTACTAACTAGTCTCCCAGACAAAATTGTATTTTTAAGTCCAAAGAAAGGATTTAAGAAAGATAACAGGAAAAGATGACTTTGTAAGAGGGCCACTGACAACACATACAGCAACTTTTCTACCAGTTCCAAAAAGTCACTTTCTCTAGATGGATTAATCACAGAGGTGCCCTCCTGGAAAGACGAAATGTAACAAGGCACTCCTCCTTTCAGCCTGACACAGTCCTGTGCAAGACACAAGGCTTGGTTAGTATAGCTTGGGCTGCATTTCTGCTTCTGCTTGTGCCTGCTCTGACACATGCAACCTGAACTGCTAAGTATATTGTGACCCTGTTCTATGAACCACAGACATAGGCTACATCTTCCTGAGATGTGTGTGTGAATACATATTTGTCAAGAATGTTAAAGGTCTTTGAATTGCATTTGTTCAGCAACTTTTCCATGAAGTCTTCAGTTTTCTTTCAATGAATTCATTTAAATGAGGTTCTAAACACCATTTAAAGAAAGTTTCTACATCTTGCTTCTGTTTTACTGGCTTTGACTAATTTAGCCATGCACATTGGTGAATCAGGAACACATTTGGAATTAGGTAAATTCCAATACCTCAGAAAAATATAGACCTTTAGAACGTCCAATCAGATGGTTACACAGTACTAGGATGTGAAACTTACTTTGTTATAACTTGCCTTTGTACAGTTAGAATGTTCCTTTGTTATAACTTGCTTTTGTACAATTAGAATGTTCCTTACTGGGAAGAGAAGCTGTACTTCATAAATGCCACAATAAGACAATCTATGAAAAGCCTCTTTTCGGTGTTTATTCTTGACAGTCATCTATTACTACCAGCTTAACGCATTTTTAAACATATTATTCTGTAACTTTTGATTTAATGAATTCTTAATGAGCTACCTCATTATACTGTAAAATCGTTTTTTGGTTAAATTATAAAATTTTATCATTCTTTGCATTAAGAATTTTGATTAAAGAGGGAGGATTATTCAATGTTTTCTCTCCAGGAAAAGAACAAAGCCTTCCTTGTTTGTAGAAAATTAACAGATTTACCTGTGCCTTTGAATCACATTAGTTTTTGGCTTAAAGTGGATTCAATGCATGTAGCACTTAATGTTTTTGACAAGGGTGTACAATTGACATTCTGGTGCTTCATTTTCAGCAGTAGTATTGTAGTACTTGTTTAGCACTTCAAAAACTCAAGCCAAATTTTTTATATCTTTTAACATCAGCTATGGAAAAATGTAAGTGATGAAGATATACAAGAATATGAATACGCTTATTGTGCCTAATTTGAAATTAATTGTGAATCAACAAAATTACTTTAATTAATAGATTTTTCAAGAGGTAAAAAGTAGCGATATTGCCAAGACCTTCCGCAAAGCCATCAACAGGAAAGAAGGTATTTGTGCTCTGGGTGGAACTTCAGAGTTGTCCAGCGAAGGAACACAGCATTCTTACTCAGGTAATCATTTCATAGGCATTATTAGGTTAATACAATGTGCTAGGTGGGATGGATGCTGTAATGTCAAGGAAGGGCTCTAGAAAATCATTACCTCCTAATTAAGAATACAATAGAAGTCCTTTGCGACCTGTATTTAGGCTTGAAACTAATACTTGTCATAAAGGTATTGTATTTATTGTATGGCTTTATTAGCTTGCAAGAGACAGGATACAATCCATGTAATGATAGGCTTTACTATAGTGAATTGTACAGTAAGATAAGTGTCTGAGGACCAGTTAATGTGTTCTATTCTTTTTCTTAATTTTGTAATTCCTGATAACCACTGTGCTGCATCCAAGTGTCTGGGTTTCCACACAGAATAACCACACGTTTCTGACACATTAACTTTCAGCACTATTAGGCTTTGCAGTCAAATCGTTAACTTAGAGCATGAACTAATGTCTTGCTTGTTATTTAACATAATTTTAGAGGAAGAAAAATATGCTTTTGTTAACTGGATAAACAAAGCTTTGGAAAATGATCCTGATTGCAGACACGTTATACCAATGAACCCAAACACTGATGACCTGTTCAAAGCCGTTGGTGATGGAATTGTGCTTTGGTAAGATGTTAGCTTGTTTTATATCCAGATATCCAAAAATAGCCTTCCATATAATTGATATATTTGCTTCTGCATGCTTGACAGTTTCACCTCAGGAAGTAATTAGAATAGAAAATTATCCAGGTTCTGCCTTTTTCGCTTAATTTCTAGGTCTGTCCATGAATCTAAAATTCAGTCATAGATCGACAACCTCTTTATAGGGGAGCTCTCAGCCTCCATTTTCATCTCATCACCGAGCCAACAGAACATTATGACTCTGTTGAACTTAAGTATGTCAGTGTCTGTTTATTCTAAAGTACCACAGCTTCCAAAAGAAAAAAAGAGGCTACTCTTCAGTTCTCACTCTCCAATGACCTATTTCCAAAAAATGCTTTTGTCACTGCTGCCACCCCACAGCCAATAGCATCTTAGCAGACATAATACAAGATTATCAACACTGTCAGTCGGTGTTCCAATTTATAGAGGCAGTGTCACACAGTTGTTAATACCATGCTCCATTATCAGTCTAACTGAGTTTATATTCAGTCCTGCCACTCTGAAGTGGTACAACTATGATCATGTCACTCAACCCCTTTGCATTTCAGTTTCTATCTATTATGATCTCCACATTATTATACTTACCTCACAGGGCTGTTGTGAGCATTAAGTAAATTACTACATACAGAGTGCTTAGGGTAGTGCAATTGATATATTTCACATGACAGTATATATTATAGGATATAAAATTCTTCTTTTTGCAATAGATTCATTTTGGTTGTTTGAAAAGCTGATTTTTGAAATGTGAGATAGGCTGGGCATGGTGGCTCATGGCTGTAATCCCAGCCCTTTGGGAGGCTGAGGCAGCAACATTGCTGGAGGCCAGGAGTTCAGATCCGGCCTGGGAAACATAAACAAGACCCCTATCTCTACAAAAAAATTAAAAATTAACCGGGCATGGGACTGCACGCCTGTAGTCCCAGCTACTTGGGAGACTGAGGTTGGAGGATCACTTGAGCCCAGGAGTAGTACAAGGTGGCAGTGAGCTATGCTTTATACCACTGAACTCCAGCCTGGGTAACCCTGTCTATCTAAAAAATAAATAAATACACACACACACACACACACACACACACACACACACACAGACTTTCTTTGTGTTCCGTTTATAGGCAGTGAATAATTTCCCATGTGTGTGTTTCGTTTTTGTTTTTTCAGACGGAGTCTCGCTCTGTTGCCCAGGCTGGAGTGCAGTGTCATGACCTCAGCACACTGCAGCCTCCACCTCCCGGGTTCAAGCATTCTTATGCCTCAACCTCCCAAGTAGCTGGGATTCCAGGCTCTCACCACTTCACCCAGCTAATTTTTATATTTTTAGTAGAGACAGGGTTTCACCATGTTGGCCAGGCTGATCTCGAACTCCTGGCCTCAAGTGATCTGCCCACCTCAGCCTCCCAAAGTGTTGGGATAACAGGCATGAGCCACCTTGCCCAGCCTCCCATGCATTTTTTTTCTTTCTTTTTTTTTTTTTTTTGAGACAGAGTCTCACTCTGTCACCCCAGCTGGAGTTCAGTGGCTCAATCTTGGCTAACTACAACCTCCGCCTCCTGAGTTCAAGCAATTCTCTGCTTCAATTTCCCGAGTAGCTGGGATTATAGGCACCTGCCACCATGCCTGACGAATTTCTGTATTTTTAGTAGAGACAGGGTTTCACCATCTTGGCCAGGCTGGTCTTGAACTCCTGACGTCATGATCCGCCTGCCTCAACCTCCCAAAGTGCTCTGATTACAGGCATGAGCTATCGCACCTGGACCCATTCATTTTGATATAGAGAGAAGACTGGAAGTTTCTCTCTCTGGGGGCTCACCCTGCAGAACTCAAAAATTATATAAATTATAAAAATAATAAGAGATAATCATATTGAACTATTTAAGATTTAAATTTTGCATGGAAAGAAGCATGGCTTTCTCTATGTAGAATAAAATTTATTAGGGCAGTATTATGAACATCTAATATGTTAGAGCCAGGTGCAGTGGCTCACACCTGTAATCCCAGGTACTTAGAGGCTGAGGTTGGAGGATCCCTTGAGCCCAGGAGTTCAAGGCTGCAGTGATTTGAGCTATAATTGTGCCTCTGTACTGCAGCCCAGGCAACACAGTTAGACCCTGCCTCTAAAAAATAATAAAATAAAAAATATTGAAGTCTAAATCTAGATTTTACAAAATGAGATTTTTCCTAATGAGTCACAGACTATAGCCTACCTAATCTTTCTCTCACCACTATACTGCCCGCACCAAATACAGTGTCTGGCTCATTGTTGAGGCACTCAGTAAACATTTGGTGAATGAAAGAATCTCAGGCTCAACTAATTTTACTGTTTTGTGGAAAAGACTCATTTTCACTGCAGGATTTTATCTGTCTTTAAAATATATTCAATAAAGTTGACCTCTCCTTTTTTTTTTTTTTTTTTTTACTCACTGATCGCTGTTAGAGACAGGGTCTTGCTCTGTCACCCAGGCTGCAGTGCAGTGATTCAATCATGGCTCACTGCCACCTCGACCTCTTGGGCTCAATCAATCCTCCCACTTCAGCCTTTCAAGTAGCTAGGACTACAGGGATCCACCACTTTGCCTATCTAATTTTTTTTTATATTTTTTATTTTTTGCAGAGATGGGGTCTGGGGTTTCACCATCTTGTCCACAAGGCTAGTCTTGAACTTTTGAGCTCAAGTAATCTGCCTGCCTTAGCCTCCCAAAGTACTAGGATTATAGGCGTTAGCCACAGTGTACCTGGCCCAAGTTTTGTTTTCAATATCCAAGTTATTTTCATAAAAGAATGAGAAAAACAAAAATAAAAATTAAATGATAAAGCCTGTTCTAATCCTCTGCTCAGAGATGCCCGCTACTATACACATATTTTGGTCTTTTTTTGTTTTGTTTTTTTGGGGTGTTTTCCTTTGTTTTGTTTTTTTGTTTTTTTTGGTTTTTGGGTTTTGGTTTGTTTGTTTTTTTGAGACAGAGTCCTGCTGTATCCTGTATTGCCCAGGATTAAGTACAGTGGCATGACCTCCACTCACTCCAACCTCCACCTCCTGGGTTCAAGCAATTCTTCTGCCTCAGCCTCCTGAGTAGCTGGGATTACAGGCACGCGCGACCACACTGTGCTAATTTTTGTGTTTTTAGTAGAGACAGGGTTTTGCCATGTTAGCCAGGCTGCTTTCCAACTCCTGACCTCAGGTGATTGCCTGCCTTGGCCTCCCAAAGTGCTGGGATTACAGGCACGAGCCACTATAGCTGGCCAGAGTTTCTTTGTTTGTTTTGTTTTTTTCTTTTTGAGACAGGGTCTCACTTGTTGCCCATGCTGGAGTGTAATGGTGTGATCGTAGCTTACTGTAACCTTGAACTCCTGGGCTCAAGCTATCCTCTTGCCTCAGCCTCCTGAGTAACTAGTACTAGAGGCACATGCCACCATGCCCAGCTAATTTTTTAATCTTTTTTTATGGTGACAGGGTCTCGTATTGCCCAGGCTAGTCTGGAACTTCTGGCCTCAAGCAGTCCTCCCGCCTCAACCTCCCAAAGTGCTGGGATTATAGGCATGAGCCATCACATCAGGCCTGGTCTTTTTTTTTTTTTAATCTTTATTTTCCATTTGGGTAGTTTATTATGATCAACATGATAAAAGTCATCTATTTGCATTTTTAGAGTACGTAAAAAAGATGTTTAGTAAGCTTTAAAATATTTGTAAGTATTTATAGACACTTAATAAAAGTAAATCAACTTTTTTTTTCATTTTTTGTTTCAGTAAAATGATTAACCTTTCAGTTCCTGATACCATTGACGAAAGAGCAATCAACAAGAAGAAACTTACGCCCTTCATCATTCAGGTATGCATTGTTCTCCCCTCCCTTTAACATGAAATTACTGTTTGAGGACCTGTTCACAGACTTGAGGCTCTGCACTCTGTAGGTTCCCAATTGATCCTTGTAAAAACTATTGAGCGTGGGATTGTTATCCAGATTATACGGACAGAACTGGGACTCAGAAAGGTTTCTGAGCTTGCCTGAAATTAATGTTGAAACGGAGGTTCAAATCCCATTCCAATTTCAAAGTTCTATGTTCTTTTCATTTCATAATGTGCTCAAGCACTACAGAGATAAGCAAAAATATGTAAGCTCCTAATTAACTGGCGTGCTTAAGGAATGGAACATTTTTCTTTTCTATCAATTGAACATTAAATTATTAGCAAAATTCCCTCAGGGAAGAGCGCCTCTTGGGATGTGGACATTGATAACTTCTAAAACTCTTTTGGGCACATGAATACTGTTGGTTCCTCTCCTTAGGCATTTTTGGAATGATAGCACTTTACTCACATGGATAAATTTACTGTGCTACTCAGCCTTTTCCTTTAGTGCCAGCATACTTCAAAAGGGAACAAATAAAAATATGTTAACTTCTCATGAGATTCTGCAAAAGGCAATAGCAATAAGGCTGAAATTTGTCTTAGCTAGGCTTTTTAACACAGAAGTCTGGAATTTGTTTTCTGTGACACATATATGGATAAAATTAATGCAAGGTATTAATTTCCTCATTGAGTGTTATTTTCAGTAAAGGAAGAAAGTAGAATGCTAAAAAATGGAAAGGTTGAGAAGCAAGTGTGTAATTTGACTGTCTTGCAGGAAAACTTGAACTTGGCACTGAACTCTGCTTCTGCCATTGGGTGTCATGTTGTGAACATTGGTGCAGAAGATTTGAGGGCTGGGAAACCTCATCTGGTTTTGGGACTGCTTTGGCAGATCATTAAGATCGGTTTGTTCGCTGACATCGAGTTAAGCAGGAATGAAGGTAATGGAACACAACTATTCTGGAAATTGTTTATTGGGTATTTTTTTCTAGTCATGTAGACGTTCATGCTCTCACTTAATGGAGGTGATTGGTGATAACTAGAATGAACATAAGGTAATGCTATAGTTTTTCAGAAAAATAGCATAATTACATGACTTTCTATTAGAAATTCACATTTGTCAGGCACTTTACAATTAATTTTGCAACAATGACACAAAAGCACAGAGAGATTAAGGAGCTTTCCCAAAGTCCTAAAACTTGATTATGTATTTTTTTTTCCTTTTTCTTTCTTTCTTTCTTTCTTTTTTTTTTTTTTTTTGAGATGGAGTCTCACTCTGTTGCCCGGGCTGAAGTGCAGTGGCACCGTCTTGGCTCACTGCATCCTCCGCCTCCCGGGTTCAAGCAATTCTCCTGCCTCGGCCTCCAAGTAGCTGGGACTACAGGCATGCACCACCATACCTGGCTTGATTTTGTATTTTTAGTAGAGAAAAGGTCTCACCATATTGGCCAGGCTGGTCTCTAACTCCTGACCTGGTGATCCACCCACCTGGGCCTCCCAAAGTCCTGGGATTACAGGCATGAGCCACCATGCCCAGCCTGATTATCTATTTTTTTCTGCTCTGCCTACATAAATCCTACCTCTTTACCACCCTCAGCTCCACCATTTTGCACCATCTCCTTTTTTTGGAGACAAGGTGTCACTCTGTCACCCAGGCTGCAGTACAGTGGCACAATCACGGCTCACTGCAGTCTCAAACTCCCAGGCTCAAGCGATCCTCTTGCCTCAGCCTCCTGAGTAGCTGAGACTATAGGCGCAAGTCACCACACCCAGCTAATTTTTGTACTTTTGTAGAGATGGGGTTTCATGATGTTGCCCAGGCTGATCTCCAACTCCTGGACTCAAACAGTCCGCCCACCTTGGCCTCCCAAAGTGCTGTGATTACAGGTGTGAGCCACCATGCCCAGCCTATCTCCTAGTTTTAACAACTTTTATATTCTATAGATTTAGACGCCCTTCAAAATCTTCTAACCTACCCTCAATGGTCTCACATTCCTGAACCAACAGAAGGATCACTTTTTCAGCATAGATTTTTTTTTATGTCACATTGTGGATTTATAGAATGTATTAAGCATATTCCATACAGTTCCCCTGAGGTCCTAGGAGGTACTACATTAACCTCTGAAAAGTTTAAAATACTGAACACCACTCCAAATACTCAGATTTCATTCCAGAAATCCCTAACATCACCATCTCAATCCTCAGTTACTTTGGGAGAAGATTACATGTTTGGGATTCTCAGTATTGTCCAAGTCTCATCATGTCTGCCAGTGGTCTTATTTTATACATCTATCCACTATAAGTCTTTTTTGTACTGTTAGGAATTTATTATACTTATTTATTTATTTATTTTCTGAGAGGGAGCCTTGCTCTTTCATGCAGGTTGGAGTACAGTGGCGCGATCTCGGCTCACTGCTACATCTGCCTCCTGGGTTCAAGTGATTCTCCTGCCTCAGCCTCCTGAGTAGCTGAGATTGCAGGTGCCCGCCACCATGCCCAACTAATTTTTGTATTTTCAGTAGAGATGGGTTTCACCATGTTGGCCAGGCTTGTCTCGAACTCCTGACCTCAGGTGATCCGCCCGCCTTGGCTTCTCAAAGTGCTGGGATTACAGGCGTGAGCCACTGTGCCCACCATACACTTACATTTTGAATCCACTCAAAAGTACCTGCTTTTGCAAACTGACACAAGAGCAGAAAATCAAACACCGCATGTCCTCACTCATAGGCAGGTGTTGAACAATGAGAACACATGGACACAGGGAGGGGAGACTACACACTGGGGTCTGTTGGGGGGAAATGGGGGAAGGACGGGGAGGTGGGGAGAGAGAGCATGGGGAGAAATGCCAGATATAGGTGAAGGGGAGGAAGGCAGGAAATCACACTGCCATGTGTGTACCTATGCAACAATCTTGCATGTTCTTCACATGTACCCCAAAACCTAAAATGCAATTTAAAAAAGTACCTGCTTTTGAATAAATAAAATTGTTCTAATTGCTGCCTTCTTCACAGTGGTGCATGTTTTGTTTCAAGGGGTTGAAGTCCATTTAAGAAGGAAAGAGAAAAAACAAAATAAAATGGCATTGGCTCATGTAATATATGATTTATTTTTTACAAGGTCTCAGGTGCATAGATGTTGGGCTGTTTAATCTTGTCCAGCCTTTGATTGGGTGGAGATAAGGAGTGGAAGGAGGGCTCTATACAAATGGTCATGCTGCCTCTGCTCTTAGCATCCAAGTGTCAAAGGGGCATAATATCAAGCCAAGTCCATTGAAGATGAAATTTGCCTGATGGAGGTATTACTTGGACCCCTTCAGAAATCAGACAGTTTCAGCATTCTTGTCCAATATTAATCTCATTTTATGGGAGGCAGTTATTGCATAAAGACTGCACAACTTCTTTAAAACAACGTTTAAATTTAGACAGTTCTCTGTAAACGCTCAAGCTTTTGCCTATGACCTATGGAAATATTTACCAAAAAAAGCTTGGCTTCTCAACAACAACAAAAAATTATTGAGCAGACTTTACTTGTTGGGTGCTATAGAAAATGTAAGGTTGAGACCCCGCATGGTGGCTCATGCCTGTAATCCCAGCACTTTGGGCGGCTGAGGCGGGTGAATCACTTGAGGCCAGGAGTTAGAGACCATCCGGGCCAACAGGGCAGAACCCTGTCTCTACTAAAAATAGAAAAGGTAGCTGGGCATACTGGCACGCACCTGTAGTCCCAGCTAGTCGGTAGGCTGAAACAGGAGAATCACTTGAACCCAGGAGGAAGAAGTTGCAGTGAGCCGAAATCACGCCACTGCACTCCAGCCTGGGCAATAGAGCGAGACTGTCTCAAAAATAAAGGAAAAAGAAAATAATAAGGTTGAATTATATTCCTGTTAAAATAGGCTTGAGACTTCAAGGGTTAATTGATTAATGATACTTAAATACAAATACCACAGTGTTTCTAGATTACTTTAATCAAAAAGTGAGGTAAAATATTTCCAAATTTTAAACATCTTTCCCAGAATCTTTGACTTTAACCAAAAGGTTAAATAAAAGGTTCCCAAATTTTAAACATCTTTCCCCAAATCCTTGACTTTAGAAGTGTTAAATAAGAACAGTTTATACAAACATACTACATAATGTGAAAATGTAAGCTTAAAGGCCGTAACCTCATTTGTTACTTGGAATGTGAAAAATAACAGAGAAAATAATAAATTGTATTATGTTATTAAATCTACTTATATATATTTATCTTTTTGAATAGGTTATGAGTGTCTTGAAACCAGATCTATGTCATAGTAGTTTTTTGCACCTCTGTTACTCAACAGTGTCAAAAGAGTGAATCAACTTGGCATGACCGTTATTATGTCATATAATGATTGTGGGATTTTTTGCTTTTTCTTCTAGCTTTGGCTGCTTTACTCCGAGATGGTGAGACTTTGGAAGAACTTATGAAATTATCTCCAGAAGAGCTTCTACTTAGATGGGCAAACTTTCATTTGGAAAACTCGGGTTGGCAAAAAATTAATAACTTTAGTGCTGACATCAAGGTAACTATTCAAAGAACCACAACACTTTGTGGGGATATAATAATAGCTGGAGGATTTCATCCCAGTTTGAGGGAAAATTCTAATACTGTATCACCAAGCCTTGTTGCCTCTTGGCCCTGAAGGTAGATTTTAGAAGAGAAGTAGAGCCAGATAAAGAGCATGAGCACCTATGTTTTATTTTGGGGAAAAAGGTTAGAGTATTATGCTAATTTGTTATGTTATAATGCTAATTTGTTATATTCTGCCTATTGTTAAACATGGAGTATAAAAGAATAGGACATGACTATTCTATTCTTAACTGCCTTTCCCAGGCCTCAGTGTACCTGTTAGTAAACACACCTAGAAGAGAGAGGAAGGGCCTCATGATTTCCTCTTCCCCTTTTTTATTTGGCTTCCCTTTTGTCATTTTATCCCACCTTCAGATGTGAGTTCCTCCAGGATAGTGATGAGCTCTTATTTATGTCTGTGTATCCTTCCTACCTCAGCCCCTGCTCCAGGGCCCTCCTGCTAAAGCCAACGTATAACACAGTATGTGGCACATACAAGACCCTCGTGTTTCTTGCCTTGAATTGATTTTATTTAACTCACTGTTATCATGAGCAGTGAGGAAAAACGAACAATGGAGGAAGACATTTATCACATGTTGCCTTTGGCTTCTCATGCAGAGAGGGCTAACATTACTATGGCAAACATTGTGTGGAGTTCTTCTTAGCTGCCTCAACTCTGACATCCAGATGCTGGTACACGAGGAACAAATTTAAGGATCTTCATCAGATGTCACTGATTGTCAAGGCTGTGAAAACAATACTGTGCTATCATATGATTTTGTTCAGTGATGAGAGGAAGCAGTGAGATGCCTGTACTGCTGATTTCATCCATGAAAATTAAGAATAGCCCCAAAATTATAAGACCAACTGACACTTCCCTCTCTTTGAATTATACAATATGTTTGGCCAGGTTTGTTGTTGTTGTTGTTGTTGTTGTTGTTGTTGTTGAGACAGCATCTCACTTTGTCACCCAGGCTGGAGTGCAGTGGCACTCTCATGGCCCACTGAAGCCTTGACCTCCCAGGCTCAAGCGATCTTCCCACCTCAGCCTTCCAAGTAGCTGGGACTACAGGTGCACACCATGAAGTCCAGCTGATTTTTTTATTATTATTTATAGAGATGGGGTCTCACTGTGTTGCTCAGGCTGGACTCTAACTCCTGAGCTCAAGTGATCCTCCCATCTCAGCCTCCTAAAATGCTGGGATTACAGGCGTGAGCCATAGCACCTGGCCAGCCAGGTATATTTTGCTTTATGCACTAGATGCGTTCCTGAAAATCAGCAAGCCAACTGTAAATGGATTGTATGTACTGGGATGTATTTTAAATGTACAGAGAATATCTTTTTTTTTTTAAGTGAAGCCTGCTTTGAATATTTTTAAAAAGCAAAGAATTGTTTGGTAATGTGAAAACTAACTTCCAGATTATCTGTATTCAAGTTCAAATTTTCACCTGTAAAGACCTTTTCAGGGTAACAAATACAGATTTTGCTGGGTCTGCTCTTCGCTTGTTTTTCTCAAGAGCATAGGTTTAGATTATAAATTGTTTATGTAGCTTTAGCAAGACATTGGAAATTAAAGCACTTTCACAGTTGTAGTACACTATTCCTTAGGAGGTAAATGCTATGCCCCCAAATAATAAGATCAGAGTTGCCATTTTATGAATTGCTCTGAAATAGCTTTCAATCACCTGGTTTTCCCCATTCTTAGAACCATCTATGGCACCGAGTTTCAAACTCACTTGGGTAGCTGGTTTAAAAGGCACCTCTCTAGGCAGTTCCCAGACATTTAGATTTGGTAGCTTGGGAATTGGATTCAGTAATTGACATATTGAGCAACTTCCACAGGGCTTTGTATGCACATAGACTACGAGAAACAGACCTTCGTAGTCTGTCTGGACTTTCAAGGCCCAGTAACAGGAAACTGTTAAGATCATAGCTAGAAGGTGGTCTTCACATATGGCAGGATTAAGAAATCTTGACTCAAATTCCTGTCCTCTAGAATTCCGAAGATGCAGGAATTTACTTGACACGTGTGAAGGCTCTTAGTAAGTGTTTATGCGAGTACAGTGGTTTTCAAGCTGTGTTTTGTGTTGTCCATACAACCTGAATTCACATTGACTATTGACTGTGAGCCAACCCCATTGTTTTATGTATTGGGATTCTAAGAAAACAACATTCAAGTGATAAAAGAGTCCAGGGATTTAAAACGAAAAGAGACATTTGTTTTGTTAAGTACGTTCAGATCATAGAGGGTTCAGTGTTATTTTAGCAACTAAAATGTTTAGCATTTAATCTTTTGTCATTTAAATTTACAATTAAATACATCTGCAACATAGCTAATCTCTTCTTCATAGGTTGTGGTATATGCATTGTGCTTTGTAATGATATAACTTGTTTATTTTCTCTTTCTTCTATGCTTCCTGGATTTCTGCTCTCCTACTTTTTTAAATGCTTGTTTTGTCTATCAAGCTTATTGACTTCAGTAATTCAGTGAAGGTACAGAACTGGTTATATGTTTATTAGCATTATTTTATTGATGGCTTTAATAATTGTGAAGTCATGCCAAAATCCAGTTCATCCATATGCAAGACAGATATAAGGCCAGATAGATGGACTTTTCTGGGGAAGACACCTGTTAAATTAGAAGGCAGAGATTTGTGCCATATATTCTCAAAAAATCCAATGCAAATAGCCTTCCAAACATGAGACAATAGGATACATTCATTCCTTGTAACCGCGATCTCACTGACATATTCAATTCTTTGTAGGATTCCAAAGCCTATTTCCATCTTCTCAATCAAATTGCACCAAAAGGACAAAAGGAAGGTGAACCACAGATAGATATTAACATGTCAGGTTTTAATGTAAGTATAGCTGCTCTTTTGAATTCTACAATCTTGCAAAATTATTGTCAATTTCTTATAAATACAATAATTTTTACAATTGTATGAAGTGGATTTGATAATTTTAAGCATTATTTTAAAATGTATTACTGTACATGTAATTCAGAGGCCAGAAAACTAGCTTAGATTTATTTTGATTGTTGGTGAATTCCATAGTTGTTGTGGTATTGATTTATATGGATGGCATAAAATATTCAAAACAAGTATGGGGAAATAAGCAACTAGAAGCTAACCATTTCCAAGTATTTGGATTATAACCACAGTAATAGATTTAGTGACTATATATTTATATATACATATATTCATTTTTCTGTGTTGAGAGTAATGTTAATATGTTTTACAAACTCCCAGTCTATGAAATCTGATTTAGGGAATTATTCTCAGATACCATGTTCCCTGGGTATGTCACTAATTTGTTTAGTGACCTTGGACAAGTTTCTTCTCAAAATTGGATTTCACTTTGTTCATCCATAAAGTAAGGAGTTAGACTGGACTACTTAGTCCCAAGTTTCTAGGATTCTGTGTTTTTTGTACCCATTAGATATGGAATGCATGCTACTAATGAACAAAATCCACATATCTATCATATTATGCCATAGGATGGAGTGGATTGCACTGGCTAAACCATTTTTATACTGCCCTTAACCATAACTCAATTTGTACCTGACTTGCGTGCTTATATTTCTGTCTATATGTTAAATGTAAAACTCTTCAGCTCAGGTCACTCTTGGTAGGAATGAGGGGCCATCTTGTCCAAGAAGGGAGCTGTCTGGGATGGCTAGCTGTGTGATCTGATACACCCCTTCTGTAGTCAGTCCTTTCTGATTGATCTTAAAACACTCCTTTGTCACTTCCCTCTTCAGATCCGACAAGGATTCTTCTGTTGACTCTAGAATTCAGTCCAAAATGTTCTGCTTAGCACTCACCCCACAAATCTTGTTCTATCATTTCTAGTCAGTGTTATTTTGCCAAAAGTCTGCATTCCTCACCCCAACCTCCCTTCCCACCACCACCCATGTGCCTTTGCTCATGCTGTTCTTGTGATTTTCAGTGTCCTTCATCTTTTTCAGCTTTACACCTTCTTTAGGGCCTTTTTTTTTAAGAGACAAAGTTTCGCCATGTTGCCCAGGCTGGTTTTGAACTCCTGGGCTCAAGCAATCCTCCTGCCGTGGCCTCCCAAAGTGCTGGGATTACAGGCGTGAACCACCATGTCCAGCCAAGGCCTAATTTTAACTCTGTACAGTTTTACCTTTTTTTTTTTTTTTTTTTTAATTTCAATTTAACTTTTTTCTTTTGTTCTTTGTAACGGAAAAAATTCCCTTCCTTTCGTCCTAACTTTTTTAATCCTTCAGTTCCCTGAGATTAATCCTTGGTCTTGCCTTCCACCATTCCTGCTACGTTCTTGCCCTAAGTAGGTTTGATCTGTTAAAAAGAAATCAGTGGAAATAGATTCTCTGCTTCTCTTCAATTCAAGCAACAGTTCACAAGCATTTCCCTTGGGCTTTGAGCATAAACTGAATGAAGGTATCTGTCTTCTCCCTCAGCCAGGGGAGCCATCTTCCACAGCTCAGCACAACTTTCTCTCTCTCTAGTTCACTCCAGCAACGCCCTCCTTTCTAGTTCCTTCTGCTGCAAACACAGCCCCAGAAGTTCCAGGATTGCAAGGCGTCGACTCTGTCATGAAGCTCATTGACCTAATGCACAGTACCCAGAAGCCTCAGCGAAGTTCAGCTGACAGTCAGTAGAGAAAAGGAGAAACTCCAAAGCAGAAATTAGTAAACCAGCAAAATAAAATCAGCCAGGCTGAAGATAATGAACCCACAATTTACAGAAAATGAACACAATTTTCTAAATGAGACTTAAGTAGCACTAGAGTTAATACCCTTTCACATTTAATAATTGGTAGATATTCATTGTAGATACGCACATTTGAAAAAAACTACTGTTTAACATAATTCCACTGAAAATATCTGAATATTTAACGTGAGATGGCTTATAAGAATTGAAACTGTTTTCCTATTGAGAAGGAAAAAAGGAAAAGTGGAACCAGAGAAAGTAAAGATGGTGAATGTATATTTTTCTCTACAGATTTTCAAACAAAATCTGGGAGTTTCCCCCAACCTTTTACATGAACTTCTTAATCCGATTTAGTTAAATGTACTCAGTAGTTTGCTATGTGATCTGGTGCCATCTAGGGTATATTAAAGGTACTGCACCTCCAACAGGGCCAACTTTTTTTTTATTTTTATTTTTTTTGCATTCAAAACAATTTTATAATAAGTACCGTATGTTGGCTAAAAGAAAGTAGAACTGTACACCCAGACTACGATTGTGGGGAAATTTTCTATATTTTTAGTATGGCCTTTGACAAAGTCTTCTTATTTTGTTTCAACAGGAAACAGATGATTTGAAGAGAGCTGAGAGTATGCTTCAACAAGCAGATAAATTAGGTTGCAGACAGTTTGTTACCCCTGCTGATGTTGTCAGTGGAAACCCCAAACTCAACTTAGCTTTTGTGGCTAATCTGTTTAATAAATACCCAGCACTAACTAAGCCAGAGAACCAGGATATTGACTGGACTCTATTAGAAGGTAACCAAAAACTTCTCAAATTTGAATGTGTGGGACTATAGAGTCGAAATACAGAGGCCACAATGATTTTTAAATTTTGACTGAATACATTTTTTTATATCTGCAACAAGTAGATGCAGGTGCTGAGTAAAAACTAGCAGAAAAGGACAATACAAGTGAACTTTTAAAGTAAGGTAGTTGAGGCCGGGTGTGGTGGCTCACACCTGTAATCCCAGCACTTTGGGAGGCCAAGATAGGTGGATCACCTGAGGTCAGCAGTTTAAGACCAGCCTGGCCAACATGGTGAAACCCCATCTCTACTAAAAATTTAAAAATTAGCTGGGTATGGTGGTGCGAGCCTGTAATCCCCGCTGCTGGGGAACCTCAGGCAGGAGAATGGCTTGAACCTGGGAGACAAAGGTTGCAGTGGACTGAGATCATGTGATTGCACTCCGGCCTAGGCAACAGAGTGAGACTCTGTCTCAAAAAAAAAAAAAAAGTAGTCGAGTCATTTAATGTAAAGCCACTTCGTAAATCAATATTTATTTAGTTTTAATCTTTAGGGTTAGACCACGTTTATGTATTTATGTTTCATTCATCCACAGTCAGTGTAACTGGAACTAACCCCAACTCCTTTCACCCTTACCTCCTCAAAAAACAAATGATAATATATGGTAAATTTTTTTAAGTTTGGGAAAGGCAGAGTTTACCTTTTCCAGATTATATATGCATGAAGGGTAGTCTATAAAAATTAAGAAATGCAGCTGAGTGCTGTGGCTCATGCCTGTAATCCTAGCACTTTGGGAGCCCAAGGCAGGAGGATCACCTGAGGTCAGGAGTTTGAGACCAGCCTGGCTAACATGGTGAAACCTTGTTTCTACTAAAAATACAAAAATTAGCCAGACCTGGTGGCGGGTGCCTGTAATCCCAGCTACTCAGGAGGCTGAGCCAGGAGAATCGCTTGAACCTGGGAGGCAGAGGTTGCAGTGAGCCAGGATCATGCCATTGCACTCCCGTTTGGGCAACAAGAACGAAACTTTGTCTCAGAAAATAAAAAAATTAAGAAATGCAAAGAGTGTCCACTGATATTTCTATAAAACCATTAACTAAACTGATAACATCAGTTACTTTGGGGAATGCAGATTTGAGGAAATATTGGAGAAGGATTTGAGAAGGAGACTCAAATCTTCATAAACCTTTAAGTTACTTAACTGGTTAGAATAAGGTTGTATTCTTTAATTTTAAAATAAGTTCAGGCCAGGCACGGTGGCTTATGCCTATAATCCCGGCACTTTGGGAGGACAAGGTGGGCAGATCACAAGGTCAGGAGTTTGAGACTAGCCTGGCCAACATGGTGAAGCCCTGTCTCTACTAAAAATATAAAAATTAGCTGGACGTGGTGGTGGCCGCCTGTAATCCCAGCTACTCAGGAGGCTGAGGCAGAAGAATCTCTTGAATCCCAGAGGCAGAGGTTGCAGTGAGCCAAGATTGTGCCACTGTACTCCAGCCTGGGTGACAGATTGAGACTCCATCTCAAAAATAAATAAATAAAGTTCAAATTTTAAAAATAAGCCTGTATCTAGAGAGAATGTATGTACTTAAGAGAATGCTTAGAAACTTGTATTATTGAAACCTTCTAGATCTGAATAGAGAGATAAAATAATCTAATATGTGGATTGGCACTATACGCACATACATAAAGTGTTTAATAAATCAGTAAAGTGTGTGAATATTCTTAACAGGAGAAACTCGTGAAGAAAGAACCTTCCGTAACTGGATGAATTCTCTTGGTGTCAATCCCCATGTAAACCATCTCTATGCGTAAGCCTTCCTACTGCTATTGTAAATGGTTATGAATGTCATGAGGGGATGTTACACAAATAATGACAGCTCTAAAGACTTTCTAGATATTAATTTGTAGCAGTTATTTATATTGGAATATGTTGAGTAGTGATTTCCATCATCATTTTCCAAACACACAAAAGCCGAAGTTATTTCTTTATATGATCATTAACTGTAAGTGATAGAATGTATAAATGTCTTTATAGTACCCTAGGGAGCAAATAGTTTATATTTTGAAACAGCCATTCTGGAGGCTGAGGTGAGAGTGTTGCTTGAGCCCAGGAGTTTGAGGCTTCAGTGAGCTATGGTTGTTGCAACAAAGCAAGATCCTATTTCTAAGGGGAAAAAAAAGAAAGGCAAAAAAGAAACAGAGACTGGGGAGCCCTTTAAGTAGACCATTTGCAACACTCAGGGACTTTGGCTCACAGTTCTCTCCGGCTAGAACGTTGTTTGCTCACATATAATGGCTCATACCCTTACTGTATTCCAATCACTGATTCAAAGATTTCCTGACTACCACCTGCTACTCTGTAACATCTAACCCTATTTTTTCTTCATAGCACTTACATACACCCCCAAAATCGTATTGTGTATCCATGTACTTGTTTATTGTCTAGCTCTCTGACTCTAATGCAAGGACAGGGATTTTTGTCCTGTGGGCCCAGCCTCTAGAACAGTGACTTGCTCACAGTAAACTCTCAATAAATACTTATAAATGAAGTGGATGGTCTTAGCTCTGTTTTCAGCACAGATTGATAGAAAATATGAGCCTTGGGTATTATTTATTGTTTTATATATCTTGTTTGACAATGTAGTGTTACTGTTTCTAAGGAAAGTCAAATCCCAGCTTCCTGAAAACACTGATTACATTATTTTTAAATCATTAGTGACCTGCAAGATGCTCTGGTAATCTTACAGTTATATGAACGAATTAAAGTTCCTGTTGACTGGAATAAGGTTAATAAGCCTCCATACCCGAAACTGGGAGCCAACATGAAAAAGGTAGATAATTAAGTTGCTGTGTATGTTAGAGTATTTTTATTGTCGATTTGTTTCTTTTGTTTCTAAAACTCTTGACTCGGAGCTTCTTGAGGACAAAAACTGTGTCTTCTTTGTTTTTGTGTACTGATAACCTAGCATTTACAAGACATACACACACGTATGCAGATTAAACAAATGGAAATCTTTAACCATTTACTCTTGTGCCTTTGCAGCTAGAAAACTGCAACTATGCTGTTGAATTAGGGAAGCATCCTGCTAAATTTTCTCTGGTTGGCATTGGAGGGCAAGACCTGAATGATGGGAACCAAACCCTGACTTTAGCTTTAGTCTGGCAGCTGATGAGAAGGTATAGTATACAATTTTAGTCGTTTAAGCTTTACTGTCATACAGGTCTGTGATTTAGTCCTTACTATGTTTAATAAGTGAACATGTCAGTGACTACACTTTTGAAATATGTTGTATTTATACTCCGCAATGAGTTTAATTAATATATTTGGATGCTTCCTTCCAAGTTAGGCAGCAGAACTATAGCTAGTCCTTTTTTAAAAAAATAGGAAGCCTGACATGTAGATTTTTGGCCTCGTTTAACGTGTCAGTGAATAAAAAAATTGTCAGAACAAAATTATGAACATCCTCATGCTCATTTGAAAATGAAGATCTCTCTGTAATGCTGATGAAGATCACCATAATGCTGAAATGCATTCATTATGACTGGGTACCAGCCAAAGCACAGTTTATTTTATGCCATTACCACTATTGGAATAGTACAAAATGTGCCTGCAGTAGGCTGTTGAACCTGCTCATTAAAGCACTGTCAGTCTGCTCTCCTCTCACCACTACAAAGGGTAGATCAGTAGCAAGCCACTACTGCTTGAAATATTTTTTTCACAGAGTGTGAATCTCTTTCCATGAACTTTTTAGTCTTTGAAATCAAAGGAATATAAAAAATGGAAGATAAAGCATCTTTCTGATGTTTGCATTTTTCCTCATAAAGTAGATTATGATATTTTCTGCTGCTGCTTCTCTTAGATATACCCTCAATGTCCTGGAAGATCTTGGAGATGGTCAGAAAGCCAATGACGACATCATTGTGAACTGGGTGAACAGAACGTTGAGTGAAGCTGGAAAATCAACTTCCATTCAGAGTTTTAAGGTCAGAATCCATATGTGACTATTAAATATTATGTTTTCTGGGTAATATCTATCATTTGGGAAGGCCACCTTTGGTTTCTTTGTGAGTGAGAATTATTGTTGGGCTAATGGCATGATTCTTTATGAATTCACTGGGCTTTGTTTTTGGCACTTGATATAAGTAAGCACATGTTAATCTGTATGTATCAAAATTCTAAGATTTGTTCTCCTTTCACACTAGGACAAAACGATCAGCTCCAGTTTGGCAGTTGTGGATTTAATTGATGCCATCCAGCCAGGCTGTATAAACTATGACCTTGTGAAGAGTGGCAATCTAACAGAAGATGACAAGCACAATAATGCCAAGTAAGGGCGACTGCATAGTAGTATGAAAAAAACACAGCTTTGCAGCTAGATGGATCTGAACTCTAATTCAGGTGCTGCCATTTAAGAGTTACGTCACCGTGGTGGAAACCTCTTGGAGCCTCAGATTCCTCAGCAGTAAACTGGGGGCAATAATACTTACCTTTGAGATTTTATAAAGATTAAATTTTTTAAAAATTATAAGAGCCTAGCCATGTGCTTGGCCTACTAGGTGCTTAGTCAAATATTGCTTCGGTGGATTACAGAAATTATGTAGCATATATTTGAATGCAAATTAAGTAAAAATTACAACAAGGAAAAAATGAGCTTAGGGTGTTCATCTGTCTATCTCATTCTTTTTTAAAAAACACATTATCCACTTATGTCTCTTTTACTATACATAGATCATTCTTATTACATTTGTTGAATTTATCTTCCTCAGTTCCCATATTAACAGAATGCTTGCTAGGCCTCCACAGAAGACTATGCCTTGAAAGTTTCTTGCATTTCAACAATATTTAGGTCTTTTCTACCAGCCTCTTTTCTTCTTCACCAAACACCTAGAGTGTGACCTGGCTTCATGGGTGACCCATGAAAACTTTACTAATTAGACACTGAAAATCCATCCACAGCCCTGTATTATAGAACAGCTAAGAAGCATTCTTGAAAAACTTTGGAGTTAGGCACATTATTTATTTTTCCTTTAAAAATATTTCTAGCAGATATGATAGAGTTCTAATATTTAAAATGCATAAAGAGCTCTTGAAACCTCTTTTTCTAGAAACTCGATGGTTTAATCATCTTTAAGATTCTGGTTCCAACACACCTAAAAATGCTTCATGGATTAGTTGAGATGTGTTCCTGAAAATTTCCCTACCTGGACATCTTAGTTCTTCTGTCCCTTCCTTTGTCTACCTTTTCTAGTTTTTGGTCCAGCCACCCTCTCCATGTACCACATGTAGACTGTCTCCCCTCTCATGAATATTTGGAAGTATTCATTGTATCTGCCTAACAACTTGGGTTTTGCATCTTGCATGATTTTTCACCTCATATCTCTAAGATGACATGAGTGTATGTTATTATTTGTGCAATCTGAATACCAACATTGATCACATAGACAGCCTAGGTAATTATGTATATAAAGTCGGTGCTTCCAGCTTAATTCTCTCCTCACATTGGAGCAAAAGAGTGAATAAATATTATTGGCTCCAAATAGTAGAGCTTAAAAACCTACTGTAACAAATGAAATCAAAACCAAAATCAAAAGAAAAGAAAAAGAAAAACTATTCTAATTGGAACTATCAATATGGAATCTTTGCATCACAGCATAATAATCATATATGAAGAAATAGATGTCTTATGTGATGTCCTTAACGGACAAGAATTTCATCCTGATTTTTGTTTCCCCCTAAAATAGGTATGCAGTGTCAATGGCTAGAAGAATCGGAGCCAGAGTGTACGCTCTTCCTGAAGACCTTGTGGAAGTAAAGCCCAAGATGGTCATGACTGTTTTTGCATGTTTGATGGGCAGGGGAATGAAGAGAGTGTAAAATAACCAATCTGAATAAAACAGCCTTGCTCCCAGGTGCATGATTCACAGGTCAGCTATTTCCAGGTGAAGTGCTTATGGCTTAAGGAACTCTTGGCCATTCAAAGAACTTTTCATTTTGATTAACAAGACTAGCTCAGCATGAGAGCCCTCAGGGGAAAGGGTTTTAATCAAAACAATTCCTCTTTCCCATAGTCAGAGTTGGATTTTTCAGGCACGCCTGAAATGTGCTCATAGCCAAAACATTTTACTCTCTCCTAGAATGCTGCCCTTGACATTTCCCATTGCCGTATGTTATTTCTCGCTCTGTTATCTTTTGCCCTCTTAGAATGTCCCTCTCTTGGGACTCACTTAGATGATGTGATATGAATATTATTAGACAGTAATTTTGCTTTCCATCCAGTATGCTAGTTCTTATTTGAGAACTATGGTCAGAGGGTATTTGGATATGAGTATCCTTTGCTTATCTTTGTAGTACTGAAAATTTGCCGAAGTAACTGGCTGTGCAGAATGTAATAGAAGAAGCTTTTCTTATTCTTTTATTTTTAAGATCAGTATCTTTTTACAGTATTCTTTCTATATGATCCTTTTTTGTACATTTAAGAATATTTTGATTACATTAAACAAGACTGCTGATTTTGCTACTTTTTTTAAGGGGTCTCCAAGTAAGTAAAACATACATTATAGCTAGAAGAAAAATGTACCTTCAATTTGCATCTTTCCCTCCCATACGTAAGCTGTAAACAATTGAAATATTTTGTCACTTAGTTCAATACATGCTTATTTGTTTTAAAACCTGTATCATCAAACTCTCTCTTTAAATTAAAAATGCTGTTGAATATGATACTTTTGAGGAGAGAGTATGCTCAGAATTTAGGATTTGGTAGGCCAAGTACGCTAAGTGTACAATATATTTTTAAATTTTACACCTAAAACAGAGAAATGTGGTCACTAAAAATAAAAGTATATATGTAGGACTTAATGTACTCTTGCTTTGTCAAGCTGTTTGCTATAGTTTCCAAGGTATTATGTTACTCTAACTCTGAAAAGTGATGTAATCTGATAGCAATGTAGTAGTTCAAATAAAGGCATTTACATAATAATTAGTCTCTTCTTCATGCTTTTGTCCCTTAGGAAGTATGCCAGTGTTTGTCAGGACTTTTTCTTTTCGTTTTTCTGATGTATTCTCTAAAATGGTGTTTGTTAAATTTGAGTTTTGGGAGCTGAATTAGAGGTACTGAATTAAGGACAGTACAAATAAAATAAAAGGATTTTCTCCAATTTACCAAAATTTCTTTATCCAGTTCCTGCTTTTTTCTTTCTTTCCCAACTCTCTTTTCAATGTTCTATGATATACAGATCCTGAAACAGTGGGGATCTGAACAGTCACAGAGGAGAAATGGTTCGTGGCAGATCTTCTCAACCTCATCCATATTGACATTTTTGGCTGGACCATTCTTTGTTGAGGTAGGGGGAAGGGGCTACCCTGTGCGTTGTAGGAGGTTTAGCAGTATTACTGGCTTCTACCCACTAGATGTCAGTAGCACATCCCCAGTCGTGTTGACCAAAAATGTTTCCAGGCAAAGCCAAATGCTCCTGGGTGACAAAATCGTCCCTTGTTAACAATCAGTGGTTTACAGTGCCCTTTTAAGCCTTTGTTTGAATGAGTAATATAAAGTACAGTCTATTGAGGATTTGGTTACATGATGATACTATATAATATTTTGCATTTATAATCTGAGAGATGGAAAGAACTTTTTAAATATCACCCCAATCCCAAAGACATAAAATTTAAAAAGGATATATTTGACAACTCTACTTTTGCATATATATATAAAATAAAAAAGATCAAAATATAGATGACTAAAAAAGTAAGTTCAGTCTCAGATTATAGATTCTTTTAATATAAAAATAGAATTTATGAGTAAAAAAAAGACAAATCTGCAAACATTTATACTAGGGTAACTGATGAAGTAAGGACAATTACATCTTATGCCTTGAATCTGCCATACTTATTCACGTTTGTCTCTGTCAAAGTACAAATGTTCTTCTCTATAAGCCCTAACAAGATAGGAAAGATATATTCCATATGGTCCTTTCTTCCAAAAAGGAGCTGATTTCTTGGGTGGTTCACCATACAGGGCCCACAGCCTGTATGAGTATATCACTGGATAGTTAAGTGTTCGTATAAAGCAGTAGGCCCGAGACACGGGTTTTTTCCTCCAAAAACTAATCACAACAAATAGCAACATGAACCAAAATTAGCAATACATTTAGAATTCTGCCAGGCGAGGTGGCTCATAACTATAATCCCAGCAATTTGGGACGCTGAGGTGGATAGATTGCCTGAGCTCAGGAACAGCCTGGGCAACATGGTGAATCCTCATCTCTTCCCCACACACCTGTAACCTCACCACTTTGGGAGGCTGAAGTGGGAGAATTGCTTAAGGTCAGGAGTTCGAGACCAGCCTGACCAACATGGTGAAACCCCGTGTCTACTAAAAATACAAAAATTAGCTGGGCTTGGTGGTGCATGCCTGTAATCCCAGCTACTCGGGAGGCTTAGGGAGAAGAATCACTTGAACCCAGGGGGTGGAGGCTGAAGTGAGCTGAGATCATGCCATTGCACTCCAGCCTGGGCAAAAAAGTGAAACTCCATCTTGAAAGAAAATAAAAATTAGCTGAGCATGGTGGTGCATGCCTGTGGTCCCAGATACTTGGGAAGCTGAGGCAGGAGGATCACTTAGCCCAGCTGAGCAAGGCTACTGTGAGCTATGATTGAACCACTGTACCTTAAGCTGGGCTACAAGACTCCATCTCTTAAAAAAAATAACGATATTTCCCTCTATACTAATATACTGAAAGATTGATTTCTTAATTTTTATCATGAATGGGTGGGTAGATTTTATCAAATGCTTTTTCTGTGTCAATTTATATCATCATAAGATTTTCTTCTTTATCCTTTTTATATGGTGGATTACATTGATTAGTTTTCAATGGTTGAACAAACCTTGCATGCCTGAATAAATCCCACTTGGTCACAGTATATAATTCTTATACATTGTTGAATTTTATTTGCTAATATTTTATTGAGGATTTTTGCATCTAAGCTCAGAATTGATGTTAATTTTTATTTAAATATTTGGTAGAAGTTTCCAATAAAACTGTTCAAGCCTGGAGATACTTGGGGGAGGATCTCCTAACTATACATTCAGTTTCTTTAATGGTTATGGAGCTATTCAGAGTATCTGTTTCATCTTGATTGCATTTTGGGTGGTTTCTGAATTTAGAGGAATTTGTTCACTTCTTCCATGTTGTTGAATTTGTGAACATAAAGTTTTTGTACTATTTCCTTAATTATCTTTTTAATAACTGCAAGATATATAATGATATTTTCAGTTTGATTCCTCATAGTGGTGATTTATGTCTTCTATCTTTTTAATCTTTGTCAGTCCTGCTAGAAGTTTATCAAATTCATTGCTATTTTTTTAAGAACTAGCTTTTTGTTTCTGTGTTTTTTTGTTTTTCTATTTTATTGATGTATGGTTTTATCTTTATGATTTCTATTTTTCTTTCTTTGAATGTGCTTTGCTCTTTTTGCTTATAGCATCTGCCCAAGACAACCATAAAAATCTACTAACCTCAGGAAACTACCCATACAGAATTATCTATTTCTCCTTTTAGCCAGATCAGTTTTTTGTTTGTTGAGACACGGTCTTGCTGTTTCCCCGAGGCTGAAGTGCAATGTCATGGTCTTGGCTCACTGCAACCTCCATCTCCCGAGTTCAAGCAATTCTCCTGCCTCAGCCTCCTGAGTAGCTGGGATTGCAGGTTGGTCTCAAGCTCCCTGCCTCAGCCACCCAAAGTTGCTGGGATTATAGGCATGAGTCACCACGCCCTGCATCAGCCTGATTAGTTTTTATGTATTTTGATAGTGTTGTTTGGTGCTTATACATTTAGGGTCACCATGTCTTTTTGGTTAATAGATCCTTTTCTGATTACATAATGTCACTCCTAGTCCCTAGTAATTTTCTTTGCTCTGTAGTCTACTTTATGTGTTATTAATATAACCTAGCCATTCCCTTTTTTTTCTTTTTTCTTTTTGGAGGAGGAGGTAGGAATGTGGTTGGAATTAGGAATATTACTTAACGGGTTCAGTGACTTCACTTACAGGAGCCTCAGTTTCCTCAGTTTAGGACATTAGAAAACAGAAGAAAATATGGAACGCTTCATGAATTTGCATGTCATCCTTACACAGGGGCCATGCTGATCTTCTCTGTATCGTTCCAATTTTAGTATATGTGCTGCGGAAGCAAGCACCTGTTTTTTAATGTTTATATAATTGTCATTTTCTCTTCTTTTATTTTTAGCCTGCATATGTCATTTCCTTGAAGTGAGTTTCATGGAGATTGCATATAGTTGGGTCATCTGTTTTTTCACCAGTTCTGTCTATGTGTGTTTTAATTAATTACTTGTTTTGTTGTTTTTTTGTGGTTTTTTTGAGATGGAGTTTTACTCTTGTCGCCCAGGCTGGAGAGCAGTGGCGTGAGCTTGGCTCACTGCGACCTCCCTCTCCTGGGTTGTAGAGATTCTCCTGCCTTAGCCTCCTGAGTAGCTCACATTACAGGTGCCTGCCACCACGCCTGGCTAATTTTGTATTTTTAGTAGAGACGAAGTTTCACCATGTTGGCCAGACTGGTCTCGAACTCCTGACTTCAGGTGATCCATCCACATTGGCCTCCCAAAGTGCTGGGATTACAGATGTGAACCACCATGCCTGGCCATTCCTTTTTTTTTTTTTTTTTTTTTTTTTTTTTTTTTTTTTTTTTTCTGAGATGCAGTCTTGCTCTGTTGCCCAGGCTGGAGTGCAGTGGCTTGATCTAGATTCACTGCCACCTGTGCCTCCCAGTTCAAGCAATTCTCGTGCCTCAGCCTCCCAAGTAGCTGGGATTACAGGAGCCCGCCACCATGCCCAGCTAATTTTTGTATTTTTAGTAGAGACAGGGTTTCACCATGTTGGGCAGGCTGGTCTCGAACTCCTGACCTCAGGCAATCCACCCATCTCAGCCTCCCAAAGTGCTGGGATTACAGGCGTGAGCCACCGCGCCCAGTTGTGAGCCACTGAGCTCGGCTGTGAGCCACTGTACCTGGCCTTAATTATTAATAGTTAGACATTATTTACATTGAAAGTAAATGTTGATATGTTAAGGAATAAATGTGCCATTTTATTATTTAGTTTATGTTTGCTGATTCCACCTTTTGTCCTTCTATTGCCTGCCTCTTACCTTTTGGTGAGCTACTTGAACATTTTTTAAAATTCCATTTTGATATATCAATAGTAATCTTGAATATATCTCTCTTTTAATTTTTATATTTTGAGGCAGTCTTGCTCTCTCACCCAGGAGAGCAGTCACACTATCAGAGCTCACTGCAGCCTTGACCTCCTCCCAAGCTCAAGCGATCCTCTACCTCAGCCTCTCAAGTAGCTAGGACTACAGGCACATGCCACCTTATTTTTTAAGGACTTGCTTTAGGTGTTAGTATATACATATGTATCATATCACAGTCGATTTCTAAGCAACATTTTAGCACTTTGAGTGAGGTATAGATACCTCACTTTCATTTAGATCACTTGACTCTCTCTACCTGTTAAATAAATATAAATGTTTTAAGTGATTTCTCTACACACATTGAGCGCCTTGTTAGATTATATAAATATGGCTTCAGCCCTCAAATAGTACTTTTAAAAAGCATGAAAAGAAGCTTAGTTTATTATATTTACCTCTATCATAATCATTCTACTTTTCTTTCTTCCTGGGGTCTCAATGTTGATCCTTAGGTTATGTGTGTACATGGATATACATTCATAGTACAAAAAGGCCAGGAAGAAGATAAAACGAACATATTGCTAGCGGTTATCTCCAGGTGATAGATTTAGAGATCATTTTTCATAATATATTTTATTATTTTATTAATATATGGGCCAGGCACAGTGATTCATATGTGTAATCCCAGCAATTTAGGAGGCTGAGGTTGGGGGATCCCTTGGCCCAGGAGTTCAAGACCAGCCTGAACAACAAAGCAAGACCTCATCTCTACAAAAAATTTAAAAATTAGCTGGGTGTGGTGGTACACACCTGTGGTCCCAGCTACCCAGGAGACTGAAGCAGGAGGATCACTTGAGCCTAGGAGTTTGAGGCTACAGGGAGTGTGATTGTGCCACTGCACTCCAACCTGGGCAACAAAGTGAGACTCTGTCTCAAAAACAAAAACAAATACATATAT